CATTGTCACAGTGGGGATGAAGTGTTGAGGGAGACATTCAATCCATAGTGTTCATAAAAAGAGTGGATTTGAATCCTAGCACTGCCATTTATTGAAGAGGTAATCTTAGAAAATTTACTTAATCTCTCTGAGTCTCAGTTTTTTACCTCAAAATTGTATGTAACAATACACAATAAAATGAGAATTAAATTAAATGAGAAAAAGTAGTATGCTCACTGGTGGTTCACACTAGTGCTCTATATCAGTGTATATGTGCTTAGTGTTACTTGTAAATTCATAAGGGTAGAGACTTTCTGTAGTGGATTGAATTATGTCCCCCCAAAACTCACTGAAGCTTGAATTGTTTCCCCCCAGTTTTATGTATTAGAAACCTGATCCCCACTGTGACTGCTAAGAGGGTAGGAAATCCTATTATGGTAATTGAAAGGTGGAACCTTGAAGAGGTGATTAGATTGTAGGATCATGCCTTAGAGAATGGATTAAAAATGGTGGTTAGGAGCGTGGTTCTGAGGGCTTTAAAAAGAGAGTGAATGAGAAGCTCTCTCTCTCTCTCTCTCTCTCTCTCTGCTCTCTCTGTTCTGCCATTTTCACAGTGTGACACCTGCCATCACTGTTGCCACCACCACGACCATCACCATCTGTGTTCCCTAGACTTTGGACTTCCAACCTCTGAAACTGTAAGCAATAAATTTTATTTTCTTTATAAAATACACAGTTCCATGTATTTGTTATAAGCAACAGAAATGGACTAATTATCTAACCTGGCTTTCACTTTACAAATAATGAGTTTGTGTGTTCCAAATAAACATTTCATAATAATGATGAAAGTCATTTACCTGGCTAGAGGGGGGAAAGCCTTGTCAATCTTTATATCTATGTATTTAGATTTAATATTTGATTCATATGCTTGAAAAGAATGTGTATTTTGCAATTGTACATACCAAATATATATATATATGCCCTCTCCCCAACATAAATGTGGTAATTTATGTTATTTCTCTTTGTAGTCTCTCAACTTTTGCTCTATATAATCCTGATACTTTGTCATAGTCTCAAGATTCATATTAATTTAAAACAATATCTGCTTGGTTAATTGAACCTCTCATAAGTATAAAGTATCCCTCTTTCTCTGTAGTTATGCTTTCTGTTTTAAAAGTGTGTTTTGTCTGATGTTTTCTTCTAGACATATCAGCTTTCTTTTGGTTGGTGTTTACAAGGTATGTATTTTCCCTTTAATTTCAACCTTTCTTTATCAGTACGTATATTTTAAATGTGTCTCCAATTAATAGTGGTTGGATTTCTTTAAGGAGTCAGACAATCTTTAATCTTAACTGGAGCATTTAGTCCTTTTTTTACATTTGTGTAATTTCTACCATATTTGGAATGAAACATGACAGCTTCAAAAATGTTTTCTATTTGTCTGATCTGTTGCATTTCTTTTTCACTCCTTTTTTGTCCTCCTTTAGAGTGATATCTGAGTTTTATGTATCAAATCCCCATCTTTATCAGTTTAAAATTATACCTTTTGCTTGTACTCTTTTATTGACTACTTTGAAAATTACAACACACATTTTTAATTTTCCAAAATTTATCTTTAGTAATATATGAAAGTTAGAACACTTGAACTTCATGTACTCTTTCCTGACTTATATGCTACCATTGTTGTGTATTTTAATTTTGTGGGTTTTTTGTTATTTTGTTTTTTAAAGATGACCAGTAAGGGGATCTTAACCCTTGATTTGGTTTTGTTAGGACCAAACTCTCCCAAGTGAGCCATAGGCCAGCCCCTTAATTTTGTGTTTTAAAAAGTTCATAAGATGATATTATTTTACACAGTTAACATTCATTAGACTTTCTCACAGGTTTTCCACTATCTTTGCTCTTAATTCCTTGTAACTCAGACTTTCTATGCAGGATCATTTTCCTCCTACATGAAATACATGCTTTAAAATTTCCTTCACTGTAGATTTGGTAGTGGTAAAATATGTCAGCTCAAGTGTATCTGAAATGTCTTTAATTTATATACCTGTAGAATTTTAGGTTAGTAACTACACTGAAAATAATATTCCACTGTCCTATTTCTCATTTTTACTAGTAAAAAGTCAGCTGTTAGTATGTTGTTGCTCTTTTGAAAGTAATTTATCATTTTCTCTGTCTGCTTTTAATGTTTGCTTTTGGTCTTTAGTTTTAAGAAGTTTTACTTCAGTATGCTTAGGTATGGATTTTTTAATTTAACATGCATTCAATTCATAAGACTTTTTTTTTTCCTTTTTGTCTTTTTTACTGACTGGTAACGGGATCGCAACCCTCAGTGTCGCGCCCGTACCGGGAACCGGCAACGGGATCGCAACCCTCGGTGTTGCACCTGCACCGCGCTCAGCCAGTGAGCGGGAACCGGTCTCCACATGGGATCCGAACCCTCGGTGGGAGTGCCGCCACGCTCCCAAGCGGCACACTCTCCAGTGCGCCACCGGGCCGGCCCCAATTCATAAGACTTTTTAAAATCAGTGCCCTGAAGTCTCGTTAGTTTGAAAAACCCTCAGTAGTTAACTCTTTAAATAATTGCTTCTATCTCATTTTATCTTTTTTCTCCTTCTAGAACTTTGGCTAATCTATGTTAGACATTCTCAATATATATTGTGTCTTTTACCCTCTCAAATATATATATATATATTTTTTTCCTCTTTATGCTGGTTTCTGGATCATTTCTTCTGATGTATCTTCAAGTTCACCAAGTTTTAAAGTGTGTCTAACTTACAATTAACATCCTGTTGAATTTTAAATTTTTATTTATAAATTTTACTTAAAAAATTAATTTTTATTAATAAAATATAAATATTTTTATAGGTTTTTTTAAAACTAGCACCACAATATTTAAAATATTAAAAATATTTTTATATTACAATAAAATTTTACTTGGTTCTTTCTTCAAACTCAAATTGCTGTTACTCTTTGTGGTTTTCTGTTCTCTGTAAATATCATCAAGCTGGTCTTTATGTCCTTAAACATACTTTTCATAATTGTTTTATAGTCTGAGCCTGACCAATCCAATAGTTAAAGTCTTCATGAGTCTGTTTTTGTTGTTTGTTGTCTCTGCTGATTCTTGCTCATTTAATCTAGTCTCCTTGTGGACTTGATATCATTGATTATATGCTGAACATTGTATTTGAGGAATTATTTCTAGAAATGATTTTAAGCATATGATGAAGGTATCTTACTTCAGAGATCTGTATTTGCTCTACCAGGCACTACCAATCCAGAATTACTTTAACCCAAGTTCAAGGCTTGAGATTCACTGACCCAGGCAATTGAATACAAGCAGTACATGCAGTAGTCCCCCTGCCTCCATTCACAGTTTTGTTTTTCAAGGTTTCAGTTACCAGCAGTCCAAAAATATTAAATGAAAAATTCCAGAAATAAATAATTTATAAGTTTGAAATTGCACACCATTCTGAGTAATCTAATGCTGCCTTGCTCTGTTCCACCCTGGACATGAATCATTCTTTTGTCTAGAGTAGCTATGAGATCAACTGTGGCAGTATAACAGTACTATGTTCAAGTAATCCTTATTTTCTTAATATTGGTCCCAAAGCATAAGAGTAGTCCTGCTGGCATATTGTTCTTTCTTCATTAGTTATTGTTGTTAATCTCTTACCGTGCCTAATTTATAAGTTAAACTTTATCATAGATAGATATGTATGTATAGGAAAAAACATAGTATATATAGGCTTTGGTACTATCCATGGTTTCAGGCATCCACTGGGGGTCTTGAACCATATCCCCTGAGGATAAGGGGGGACCCTGTACTCAAGGACTTTGGAGTGCCAGTGTCTTGTAAGGGAGGATCTTCTATTAGACCTCCTATCTTATATAGGACCTGGGTTTTGTTTTTTATCTCCTTTGCCTTGAAAAGCTGTCAAGATGAAGATTCTAATTGAGTGAATCAGAAAATTCTCTCAGGGCAGAATAGCTTTTATATTCAGATTCCTATTTTTCCTTCACCTTTAGTCTGGTAATTTCTTACTATTTTTCATAGCCTTTTATGCTCTAAGAATATCTTTAAAATCCAGATCTTTTAGTTATTTTCACTGGGAGGATTGATCTAACTTAGCCTAATACCACCAGAACCATTAAGTGAGACCAACATTTTAAGTTTTTGATAAATATTACAAAACTTTCTTTCAGAACGATTGTGCCTATTTATACTTCTATCAGCAGGCATACGAGTGCTACATTCCCTATGTTCTGTCACATATAAGAAAAACTATTTGCCAATTAGATAAGTGAAAAGTGCTGTTTTGTTAAAATAAACTTGTATTTAATTATTAATGAAGTTTAACATCTTGTAATCTATTGAAATTTTATTTCACTTTTTGTAATTTAACCTATTCAAATTTTCTGTCTCTTATTTATTTTTCTTAGAGTCTTCTGGCTACTGTACAGCCGATATCTTACCAGAAAAGCTCTGTCATTTGTGAAAATATTAAAATACTTCCATATCAATTAATAAATACACACTACCTTTCCAAATGCTCTTCCCTTGAGTCCCCCAGTTACTCCAGCTTCTTCCGAACAGTACCCACCTCCCCATTATCCATCGATGAAAGAGTTAATGTCTTACATACCAAGGAGTCTTCAGGGCCTTGCTCCAACTCTATGGCCATTAAAAGTTCTGATCAATTAGTAGCCTCTTCATAGACACTGTTAAATATTTTAATGTAACCCCTGTGGATATATATTGAAAGTATTCTTCCCATTTGACAACAAGACTTTAAAACACATCAAACTGTTATTCCTTCTTCCTTCCATATCCCCTTTCATTAATTTTTATTTATAATTAGTTGCTGTTTCTCCCAAAATTATCATTATTACTATAGATTTTTTTTCCAAATTATGTCTCAGCTCTTAAAAAATCTACAAAGGAATTGATTTTAAAACTTAAGATTTTCACTGAATTTTACTATGCTTTGGAAACCTATCAGACTTATGGTTATCAGGCAGGCCAGTTAGCTCAATTGGTTAGAGTGTGGTGCTGATAACACCAAGGTCCAAGGTTCAATCCCTATACTGGCCAGCTGCCAAAAACAAAAAACAAACAAACATAAAAACTTATGGTTATCTATTTTAATGCTTTTGGCAGACACCACAGTTACAAATTTTGTAAATGTCAATAGAGGCCAAAATAAAGTAATAGTTCATTTTGAACTAATTTTTGTTTATGATATGTGTACCTCCCAATAAAAGAGTAAACTAATTTTTGTGGACTAAATCATTTTCATACTTGCTTATGATATTGATCTATAAAGATACTAGCTCTTTGGTGTTCTGCCAAATATATCAGTTAGATATTATGATCTATTTTTTATATGATTATTCTGTTTTAAATCTGATAACCACACCATTGCATTGTTATCTGGGCAACATCTTCCTAGCATTTCAATTATCTTAATCTCATGCAGACCCACATCAAAGGCTTTTACAAACATTTAGATATACTGTTTGTCCATGGAAATTTCTTTATCCACAAACTTGCTGAGTAATTTTATAAGGCCAAATAAATCAGATTTGCCTGGTATGATCTGTCTTCATAAACAAATGCTGTCCGCTGCCCATCACATTGTTATCTCAATGATTTCAGATCAATTTGGTTCACTCTAACTTGGGCAATTGCATTCTGCCAGCCCCACACTCTCTCTGTTTTTCAATTGGAGACATTATTCTTCCTTTCACTTAACAAAGTGTTCTGTGAAGCAAACAGGCAAGTATCTGAACCAATAAAGCCTAGTTTCCTGAAGATTTGTGTCTGACAGGCTAACTGAAGCTATATTTTATTTCTATGTCATAGTTCTAACTTGTGACATTATTACTTAAATCATTGTATTACATGACATAAGTAGTGTTTTGTTACATCAACAGGAAATGTAGGCAAAACAAAGAGTATTTTCCTTTCAAATGTGCTTATTGTATATACTAATACTAGATTGCCTGCTACATAATTAGATTTAGTTGGAATTGAGTTTTATATCAGAGTTATATACCAGTGTATGAGATACACTGGATGTGAAATGATTTCATCGAAAACTTGGTATATATTATACCAAGGTGGAATGACATTGTGCTTCATCCAAGAAAAATTATAGTTGTTATATATTTCAAGGTAAATGAACAAACTCTGTTCATTACTTGCCATGTCATTACATAAAGTGGATAAATTTGTTGATGTTATATCTCTTACATTTATATGATGGCTTTTGAAGTCTAGGGCTTATCTCCATAAGTGACATTTGCCTAAAACTATATGTTAATTTGGGGTCAATCAAAAGAGACAATAGGCTAGCTAACGCATTTAGTGGACTTGGAAAGCATGTTTCCAAAAGAAGTAGAGATGAACAACCTTCCACTTCTGTTTGGTGTTTCTCTATCTTGATTTCAAACAGGCTCAGTTTCAGCTGAAGTGCAGTTTCCCTGATCTAGTTTCAGCATTAAAAATGTTTAAAACAAATAAAACCCTGATTTCAAAATTCAGTCATAACTGCAGGGAATAATTCACCTTCTGGGAGAGTGAACATTTAATCTTTTGCTTGGGAGCCATTTTGATCAGCATTTGTAGCACCAAATCCACATAGTCCAAGAAACAGTAATTTGGGAGAAGACACTACAAGGTAGCATAGATAAAATAAGTAGAAAAATTATCATTATTTACTCACTGAAAGTATATCCTTTACTAATAGAGTGTAATTAAAGTTTCCCTATCCAACATGAATTAATCAAAACCAGAAGAAATATGAGCAAAGACTAGAGGAAATATCTATAACATTAAATGATTGTATCGACTAATCTTCATCATTCTTGTTGGTAAATTGTCTTTTTTAAAAAAATTAAGGACATGATAGCTCATGGGATCAATTATATCATCTTTTTTGGTTTTTTATTTTGTATTGTTTAACTATCAACCATGCTTACTTATCAGAAAACATTAAATACTGTGTGTGTGTATATGTGTGTGTGTTGTAAATGATTATTAAGGAGGATAGTATTATTGTGAGAAAGCACAATAGAAAGTCTCATGTTTGGCTATATTTCTTTTACTTGCTGTATATTTCTCTAGGGACCTTACAAAGTTTCCTGTCATTTATAAAATTTTTACCTGCCTTTATAAAGATTTATATTTATATTTATATATTTATATTTATACTTTATATAAGTACACTGTAACTACAGTGCTTATATGTAAGAAGTGTTATGCTTTTCAGTAAAGCAGATTTACCCGAAGGATTATTTTCTGTTAATGTTTTCCCAGATAGAGGAAGTTGTTAAGAGAGTGTAGAAATGCAAGCAAGACTAAATCAAGGAACTTTAACAACTCAACCAATATTCCTCACCTGAACTACAGTACACAGAAAATTATTTGACTGCTTTCTCAATTCTCTCAAGGATAGTACATAACTAGTGTTATTCTAGATGCACAAGAGAGAATTTGTTACATATGGTGGATTCCTTAGGGCACTAGGGCTTAATTCTCCCCCAAACCAGTTGAGAAAGACTTACAGCTATATTTAAATATAATTCCTTAAATAGTACGCTATAACTTCAAAATATACTTGAAACTCAGATGTAAGCAGCTTTGAGAATTCCTATTATTATCATAAAATCTATTATGAATAAAGAGATTGATTTGCTTCTACCAAAAGTTAAGTTGTGAGGAAGCTTCAAAATGTTTAAATTAACAATGAAAGCAGCACTGTTATCTCAAATCTTTTATGGAACAAGAATTAGGGTGCTAGTTAAGTAAAGAGCCGTACAGTATATTCCATAGCATTCAATTCATTTTCACTGCTTAAAAAGTCTCAATTTGGTATCAAGATCAATTGGTTTTATTCCTAGATTGGTGAGCAACTTATTGATAGACAACCTAACTTTCTAAGTGTTTCAACTACCAATGAACAACATAAAAACAAATAACTATAAGTGCCAATTTTCTCACTGGGAGTGTTGGGACTTAAAGTTTTTATTTAAAGGAAATCAATATGTATTTATGTCTTATAGATTTTTTTTTAATAAATAAGAAACTAGGACTGAAATATTTATTGTGATTGCGCTATTGCATCATCTTCCCCATCCAGAGCCTCTTAAAGAAAATTCCAAAGTGAAAGAGAACACAGAGGCGCAGTATATGAAAAGGGAAGTAGGAGAAGAAAAAGAAATATGTGAACAAAGAACACAGTGGGATGAAAACATATTAGATATCCATTAGTGTATTTCAAGAGTCTACACAATGTCCCATAAATATTTAATATTTCAACTGAGAAAGCTTGTGTGTGTGTGTGTGTGTGTGTGTGTGTGTAGGGTACAACTATGAACATATTTTGAACAATTATGTGCGAAATCCTCATCATGACCATTTTCACTGAACAACTTTACTATGAGCAGGGGATTTTCTGAAACTGAAATTGCTATTTGCACGATGTGGTACATTGAAGCAATTCAAGGCTTTCATTCCACTTCAATGGAAATGAAGATTCACTATATTAAGGTTCTCTAGACACTTATGTGGTGTGAAATTATGCCCCTAAATTACAAATTCTTCTAGCCTTCTCTCTCTTTGCTTCTCTGTTTTCAAGTCTCATTTCAAATACTCCACAAAATATTTGACCTCTCTTGGCATAAAAGAAGCAAACTTCTGTGCCCTCTTTTCCCCACCTTTATATGGAGATAACACTTGCCTCTCTTATAAAGATATTGTGAGGCATAATATTTTGTAAAGCACTTTAGAAACCTTAGATATGAGGACTAATGGAAATAAAAACTGTATTGTTACCCTTTCTTCAAGTTCCTCGCAAGTCAGTCATTTTTTTATATATATTGATTGATTGATTGATTTGGATATTAAGAAGAAATATTGTTTTGCTATTGAATGTTCAAGCTTAGTTTTATTTCTTTCAACTTCTTTCCACTGTTATTTCTTTGTGACTCCTTCTAGTTTCACTACCATAGAACCATAGATTGCTTCCAAGAACTGACTTCAAGTATGATCTGTTTTATAGCTAAAGTTCCTGGATATGGTCTAATCTTACAACCAAGGAGCCTCCCAGATACTAATTCATAACTTAAGTCTTCATGAGGGCATCACTGCACACTATTGCCATGACATGCCACTATATGACCTTATATTCAGGCTCTCTACCCACCAGTCCTATATTTGTGTTAATTAAGCATATTATTTATCTCATTAAATTGTGAACACCCTTGACAGAAGTGACTGGGTCTATCCACAAAGTACCTAGCACAATATTTTACTCAAAGTAAATATTTGATAAATGATTTAAAGTAATTGTATGAAACTAGGTTTTATGCTTCTTAAGATAGCTGCACTGCGGAAATCTTTGGAGCCAAATTGGACCAAGCCTAGAGATGTTGCTGCCCATTATTTCCACACTCAAAGTAATCCCAGTGTTGAGAACTGCTTGACAAGGCCCTGGGAATTCATCTGAATCATTTGTATGGATCTGAAAGCCAAGTCCTGACTGAACTCTTCTCTCTAGAGCCGCTAATAGAGGATTCCATTATAAGATTTTCTGTCTACTATACAACCATTTCTTCAGAAAGGAACTCTTAGAATGTATTGAAGTACATAATGAAAGCACACAATTCAAAGTGAATAGGAGAGTACAAAATGTACACAATGAGAGGATGATGTTGAGTAAATTAGTTAGCTACAGAGGCCTTGAAGCTAGACAGATCCAAGTCCTAGCTGTCCTAGCTGGGCAATTGTTAGCTCTTGCTAGTTATATTGAGTGACTTAACCTCTCTGAACCTCTGCTTCCTCATCCTTAAAAAAATATTCTTCTTTAAAAGTTGTAGAGATTTTGGTATATGGTGAGATATATGGATCTAGTTTCATTCTTCTAAACGTGGATGTCCAGTTTTCCCAGCACCATTTGCTGAAAAGGCTATCCTTTCCCCAATGTATGTTCTTGGTGCCTTTGTTGAAGATCAGTTGGCCATAGTATGTGGGTTGTTTTCTGGGTTCTCTATTCTGTTCCATTGGTCCATGTGTCTGGTTTTTTGCCAGTA